AGTCGTGGAGCCAGAGGATTAGGACGGAGGGGGAGGAGAAGGGAGATGAGGAGGAAGAGGAGGAGGAGTTGGAGCAGCAGCAGCAGCAGTCCAGGAGGAGGGCTCGGTCCTGGGGGGGCTACAGAAGCGCCGCCCGCCCCTGTCCGAGGTGCTCGGTGTGACTACAGAAGCGCTCCGATCCTTCCCCCGAGGCGCTCGGTGTGACAGGATTGCCCCTCCTCGACTCATTGTAAGTAGGTCTTGTGATCGTCTTCAAAGAGATGGAGGTATGAATAGAAATCCAGAAGAAACGCGTCGGTGGGGCATCGATGCCCATCAGGGTTCGGACAAGGTTCCCTGGCAGCGCGTGCTGGCCGCGGAGTCCAGCAATGAAGCGGGATCGATGGAGAGGGTCCCAAGGAACCTGCGGCCCGAAACAAAAAAATCGTTGGATTCACGATGCACTGTCCCGTGTGTCCCTTGCAATCGCCTGAAACGCATGGTGTTTTCGAGAATCGCCCGAACCTGTCGTATTTGCAGGGTGATTTCGACGATGTGGTTGGGGCGGCGCCAGCAGCGAAATGTGCATTTTCCTAATGGATTTGAGCCGATTCGCAAGGACACACGGAGAAAACATTGGATTTCGGAGGTATGTGCAGCGATGTCATGGACGGGCCCATGTGGAAGCTTTCAAAGCCTGCGGGGGTCCTTTTGGCAATGCCGCGGCGGGGCTCTAGGGAAAGTCGTGGCGGTCCCAAAGATGGCCCGCCCTGGTAGAACGCACTCGAGGTGTTCCAAGCGAACTCGAAAATGATCATCGGAGAGCTCCGAATGTCCGAAGAAACCTCGAAAAGCATGTGGGAGAACAGTGGCCCACCGCCCAGAAAGCACCTGGTGGATGCTACAAGGAGGGGGTGCGTTGTAGTATCCATTTGGTCGCCGATTCGGGCTCTCTGGGAGCCCTCGTTGAGCCGTGTCGGGAGTCCTTGGGGGGATGTCGGGGGCCTCTTGGGGCTCTCTTGGGCCGGCGTGGGGCCGTCATGGACAGTCTTGGGGCACTATCGAGCCGTTTTGGGATTCCCTGGGGGGGTCTTGGGAGCCTCTTGGGGCCGTCTTGGGCCGGCTTGGGGCCGTCTTGGGCATTCTTGGGGCGCTCTTGAGCCCTGGGGCCTTCTTGGGGGCCTCATGGTGGGTCTCGGGGGGGCCGTCTGGGGCCAGCTTGGGGCCGTTCTGGGCAGTCTTGGGAACTCTTGGGCAGTCCTGGGGCCTTCTTGGGGGCCTCATGGTTGGTCTCGGGGGCCTCTCGGGGCCCTCTTGGGCCGGCTTGGGGCCGTCTTGGGCAACCTTGGGGCGCTCTTGGGCCGTTCTGCGGCCCTCTTGGGGGCCTTATGGGCGGTCTTGAAATGATTTGCGGCGCCTTTGGAACCGTTCCGGCTCGAAGAAGCCCGAAGCGGGAAAATTATCAAAAACCAATGGAAAATCAGTGTTTTTTGCCCCCTGAAGCCCTTGTCGAAATCGTCAAGAGAGCCTCTGGGGCCACTCGGGCCCTTCAGGGGCCCTGGGGGGGCCATTTCGGGGCTCGCTCGGGACTCTCGTGGATCCATCACGAGCGGGCGAGGGCCGATCAGGGAGCGCCGGCGACGGACCAAGAGCGTTCCGGGGGCGCTGGCGACGAACCAGGGCCCCAGGAGCGCCGGGGGCCAGGCCGAGTCCACTCGAGGGGGCTTCGCACGCACTGATCCTGGTATTGTAGAGGAGACAAGTGCGAACCCGTGGGTTAAATCCACGGCGTGCTGAGCCTGGGACTCGCACGCCGTAGAGGCCAGCTCGTCGAAGTTGAACAGCTCGGGCGTCCCTGGGGCGGCGGGGGCGACCTTCGGAAGCACATGTGACGGTCACGTTTGAGGGCACTGGTTGGGGGCTGTGTGTGGGGGCCACGTTTGGGGGCGCCTGGGGGCTACACGTGGGGGTGACGTTCGGGGGCCACGCTTACTGGGGCAGAAGGGGCGACCTTCTCAAGCTTTGTGTGGGGGCGTGCTTTGGGGGTCCCGTTTGCGGGAGTTCTGCCTTAGGGAGGAGGCAGAAGGTGAAGATATTCAACGCGTGCGTGGTGTCGAAGTTGACGCATGTACTTTTTGCAGCATGCCTCAACAAGCTAGAGCGACGTATATGGGACAATTTTCAAAATAGATGCCTGCGACAAATGTTCGGGATACAGCCGTCATTTCTCAGCCGGATTTCGAACGCCACTGCCTTGAACATATCCAACCAGTCCAAACTGAGCGATTGCCTCGCCAGGCGACAGACGATCTTCATGGGCCAGCTTGCACGCCGACCAGGAGCGGACGCAGTCAGAGCTCCAGCGCTTGAGCCAGACTCGCTGGTCGTCCGTAGGGCCGCAGGCAGGCGAGGCAGACCTCGACAGACGTACGTAGGGCAAATCAGTCTGTAACATTTGTCTGAAAGCCGCTGGCTCGCACGAGCGACTTGCTAACTGCCTACTTCCGCCCAGAGGGCGGTGCAGCTCGCGCGTGGGAGCAGGCTGTCAAAGGCTGGCCGGGATGCTGAAGGCATTCCGTGCCGGGGCCGCCTCATCTCCTCTCCCCTCCTCCTCCTCCTCCTCCTCCTCCTCCTCCTCCTCCTCCTCCTCCTCCTCCTCCTCCTCCTCCTCCTCCTCCTGCTCCTCCTTTGAATAGCTTTAGTGCGACCGCCGAGCCGCACTTTTCGGTTACGCCCCTGCTCACGCACCATCTAGTCACGCACCTGACCTGGCCTGACCTGTTTGGGGGCCACGTGTGGGGCCGACGTTTAAGGGGCCACATCTGGGGGCCACCCCAGAAAGCAGTCGGGGAGTTTCGGGGGCACTGACCTGGAAGCGTGAAAAGACATGGTTTTTTTCTAATCGCGCCGGGCCTAGACGCGATTAGCAAAGACACGCAGGGAGGTCTTGGGGCCATCCTGGGGGTCTCGGGCCGTCTCGGAGGTCGCTCTGGGCCCTCTTGGGCGGCATCTTGGGCCCTTCTTGGGGCGTCTTGGGGCCATCTCGGGGGTCTCGGGCTGTTTCGGAGGTCGCTTTGGGCGGGGTCTGGGGCCCGGTTGGGGCTGACTTGGGAGTCACTTGAAGCTCTCTTGGGCCATCTTGGGGCCCTCTTTGGCCGTCTACGGGCCTTCTTGGGCCGTTTGGAGGCCCTCCTGGGGCCCTCTTGGACCGTGCAAGGGCGATGTGGGAAGCCCCCAGGGCCATCCTGGGCTGTTGTGGGCCCGAAATGGCGGGAACAGGAAAACCCTCGAAACCTCCAGAAAACTAAAAAGTTTTGCCCCTTGGCGCCGTCCAGGCGGTCCTCGGGGGCCGTCTCTGAGGCCTTTTTGGGCCGTCATGGGGCTCCGCTCGGGTCGGCTTCGGCCCTCGTGTGGGCGTCTGTGAGGCCGTCTTGGGGCGATCTGGGGGTCCTTGAGCCGTCGGCGAGCGCTCCAGGCGCCTCCTGAGGCCGTCGAGGAGCGCCCCCGAGCCTCTCTGGGCGGCCCGCGGGCTCTCTGGGCGGCCCGGAGCGCTGCCGCAGATTTTCCTTCTCGCACGCGCCGCGACCAGAATTGTAGTACAGGTGACGTCGGGCTCCAGCTTCGCCTTCCATATCTCGCTCAGCAGCGCCAGCGCAGGCTGCCACTGCCCGCCCTTCTCGCACGCGCTGATCCCAGCGCTGTAGCTGATAATGTCGGGCTCCAGCTTCGCCTCCCACATCCCACTGAGCACTGACAACGCATGTTGCCATTGCCCGCTTTGTCTGCATGCGCTGACAGTCGCAACGTAGTGGCGTGGGACGAGTTGCACACTCAATTGAATTCCTTCGCGGAGCAACCGCAATGCGGCGTTCCATTGTTTTGTCAAGCCGCAGTTCTTGATCGACGCTTCGAGGGACATAGCGACTGCTTGAAACTATCCAGAACGACATGGCACCGGAATTTGTGCCAGAATGGCTTGGGCCAAAATGGCGGGAGGCCAATTCACAAGAAAACTTCCACAAGAAACCCAACCCTGAGACCCCAGGACGTCCATTGATCTTTGGTGTGGGAACGTCACGCTGTCCATCGCAAAACCATCGCGACCCAAGAAACCCAAGGCACCATGGAGGCAAACAGGGTGTTTCTTGGCATGGGCCCCCACTGTAAAACCCGCGCCGGTTCAGCCCGAACCTCGCCATTGCTCGGACGTCCATTCCTTGTGCACTGCTCGGTTTCATGCGTGTGCTCTTTAGCAACGTGAAGGGAATGCTCCAAGGCACACGACCGAACGTCGCCAAGGCACTCTGATAGGATCCGACGTCTCCGCCGACAAACGATGCGGGGTAGACTGCGAAGTCGTGCGCGCATTACTCAGTGGAGGATGCTCCACCCGTTCGAGGACAAGAGCGCGTACAGTGAAACCGTATCATAAGGATGCGCGATAAGGGAGCAAGGGCCTCGGAAGGTTATTTCGAAGCTCTTCGGGCGGGGCGCGGCCGACGAAAGTGGCCAGGGGTGGGCCGAGGAGGCAGGGATGCAAGGGTACCCTTGAGAAGGTCGCCGATCCTCACAATGCGGGTTGACTGTGGGCGACCCGAGGAAGACTGGACTGGACTGGAACGCTTACGACCATGATGAGTTCCACTGTGGTGCACCGCTTAGCAAACGAGCACGAGATATGTATAAAAGGGTCTGCGGATAGCACGGAGCTATAGCCTGCAGCCTCGTTTGGGGGAAGCCTCTGGCCCAAAGCAGGACCGTCCAAAGGGGAAGAGCCCGTGACGGCCTACATGGGCACCATCCACCCAGCGGCAGGCTCGCACTAGAAGAGTCGACATTCTCCCCCAATGCAATCCCAGGCCGCAGCCCAGCAACGACACGACAAGGGAACGAAGGGGAACGACGGGCGAGAAGAAACAGGACACCGCCAAGGCAGACGCAGACACGCACGCACGCACGCACGCACGCACGCGCGCGCGCACACACATACACACAAACACACACACACACACACACACCGCCGCCCCGCTCCTGCGCCTGCGGCGCGGGGGCCCGCGCCGCCGCCGCGGCGTGCAGGAGGGCGTGCAGCTTCTC